ATACCCCCCCCACATTTGTCCAATGAAAATAGGGGTGTCCTATTCCATAATAATAATAAAAATTAAAATATTTATACCCCACCCATCTGACTTGGTTGCCCCAGCCACTCTGGGTGGCTTCCAACATATATAAAAATATTAAACATTTAAAAAACTTCCCTCTACAGGGTTGCCTACAGAGGTCTTCTAAAGTTACTTATCTTATTGGCTTGGGAGTCACAACGCTCCATGCCCTTCAACATTTCTTCGATGGAAATAGGGACATCCTAAGGGAAAGCAGGACATTCCAGGATGAAATCAGAAATGGGGACAGCTTCTGTAAATCCGGAGCTGTCCCTGGAAAATGGGAACACTTGAAGGGTATGCAAATTGTAGAAAAGTAATGCTTCAGCAGCACTAAAGAGACCAACTAACGGATGCAACCAAATTTTCAGCCATTTGTTCTGGTTTGATAATGTCTGGCTCTATCAACCCACAGTGCAAATCTCCTCAAAATCACCCTTGTGATGACTTTACTGTAATGTGAGAATTGACATTTCCTTTTGTGTATGGTTTTCACTTGTATTTATTTTGTTCATTTTGGGACTTTATTTGCTCTTCTTTTGAAGCATCAATGGCTAAACTTTCACACTCTCTATCCTACATGCTGGGTGTTATTTGCACCCTACAGCCTTTTGAGTGTTGTGAACTCATTCTCAGCCAAGATGGCTGACTTTGTGGGTGAGTTCCTGTCACAGTTCACCTAGGTGCAAATCCTTGGAGATCCCGAGTGCTAAATGCTGAATTGAAGTCATTAGGCACTTTGGGTGTTCCTCACCTGTAAGGTTTTGGCTTTTCACAACCTTTTGGCCAATTGCTGTTTAATCAGACGGGGAGACCTCAGAGATTTTTGCTAGAGAGAACATATAACTGAAGTACACACTTCTGCAGGAACAGCTCAGTCAACAGCACAGTTACTGACATGAGTCGCAATATTTTGAAAGCAGTTAACAAGGGCAAGGACACACATTTGCCTTTAGGGAATTGTCCTCAGAAAACCAGCAGCAAGAAAACCTAATTAGAAATGTTGTGGGGCGGGGGAGAGAGAAAATACTGCTGTTATTAAAACTCCACACAGCAATTCCTGGAGAAAGAGAGAACTTTGTGAGCTTCAGCTGGTGAGTTGCATTTCCTATCAGTTACCCAATAAAATTCCCACAAATAACACCAGGGTAAGTATGGAGACTTACAGGTAATTCACTCCATGGTGAACTGGGGTTTGGGCTGGGTGTTCAAGCTGTGAATCATGACTCAGAGGCCCAAATCCTGAAATGTTCTGTGATTAGACATCCTGTATTGAATCAGAACACATGAGCTCAGAATCCTTAGTCCAGACTGAAGCTCAAGCAAACACAGATCACTGAATACATAACAATACCCAGCTCTACATGTCTTTTGAATGAGTGAAGGCGGTGAAGGTCCTGTGTGAGTGCCTGGAGGTGGTTGGAGGATGGATGGCGGCTAACTGATTGAAGTTGGATCCTGACAAGACAGAAGTACTGTTTTGGGGGGACAGAGGGTGTGTGTGTGTGGAGGACTCCCTGGTCCTGAATGGGGTAACTGTGCCCCTGAAGGACCAGGTGTGCAGCCTGGGAGTCATTTTTGACTCACAGTTGTCAATGGAGGCGCAGGTCAATTCTGTGCCCAGGGCAGCTGTCTACCAACTCCATCTGGTACCCAGATCCATTGCCACATACCCAGTTTTCTTTTTTTCATTTATTTTTGACCCATGTTTATTATGCCTCCACTTGGCTCATATGCAACAGTAATGAGGGGCTAGTTCTGACAACCCCTGTGCTCATGGCCAACTGCCCAGATTACCCTACAGTTGTGGAGCACAGGTCCTCCGAATTCATTGCAATGTCAACCGTTGGTCAATTCACATTGGACAGAATTCTGGTAGCATGATCTATTTTGCCCCACATATGGTGCAATGTGGACTGGAAACAGCTCACCACAGCAACGCAATTGTCATGCGAATTCCCCCTAGCCATACTCAGTAGAAATGGACTGATATGGCACAGAGGTGACCTTCAGGTCCTGCTTTCAGGTTTTCCATAGCTACAGTGGTACCTCGGGTTACAGACGTTTCAGGTTACAGACTCCGCTAATCCAGAAATATTACCTCGGGCTAAGAACTTTGCTTCAGGACGAGAACAGAAATTGTGCAGAGGCAGTAGGAGGCCCCATTAGCTAAAGTGGTGCTTCAGGTTAAGAACAGTTTCAGGTTAAGAACGGACCTCCAGAATGAATTAAGTTCTTAACCCGAGGTACCACTGTATTTGATTGGCCAATGTGAGAACAGGTGGGTGGATGAGATGGGCCAATAGCTAAATCCAGCAGGCTCTTCTAATGCGCTTAGAGGGCGAAGTTTGATATGGGAAGCCTTCCTAATTTAGGGCATAAGAATTGCCTTGGTAGGCCAGATCAGTCGAATACAGCAACCTGCATACAGGACATGATAGTTGTGACGATCTGGTAGTCAAGAGATATACTGCCTGTATTCATGTGTATTCAGTTGAACTGCCTATATACTAATATTGTTTTCAGGTCTTCTAGTGTTCCCCAAATTGCACCAACCCCACACAAGAAGTAGGTTTCAGCAGAACCAAGGTACTTCTGATGTTTGCAGAAGTACAAAAATAAAAATAAAAATCTGGTGTGGTGGTGGTGGTTTGGAAACTCAGCACAGAAATCCTCAGAAATAGTTCAATGAGGGCTGAGCATGCTAAATGGATCCAGAATGCTGACTGATTCTGGAACATAGGAGCCAACCCTTCGCCGCCCCCAATAAAATATTTGAGGATACCCCCCCCAACGTTGATGGGCATTGCCATTCAAATGGTGCGTGTGTGCTGCATCGTATGATTGATTGTGCAGGATGGGGCTTACCTAGCCCCCCCAATATTATATTCTATTTAGCACCCCTGTTCTGGAAGAGGGTGGCAGAGATGGAAGGCCAGTAGGGAACGGAAATGCAATAGAGTATCATCAGTGGGAGAGCTCCACACAATCTGGGTTCTACTTGTCAAGGCAAATCCATAGACCGGCCCAACTTGAATTTCTCTAGTCTTTTTTCAGGTCATATAGTCTAAAAGTGGCTCCCCCTTCCCCCATTTAGGTTTATTCCATGCATATCATTGCAGTTGCTCCCCCCCCCCTTTGTTGAGCACATGCAAAGGGAGAGCAAACATTTTGTTGTGGTTGTTGTCAGAACGCTTTCCACCATCTGTCACTGTTGTTTCTGGGTGTGTAACTGATGTGCCTCCCTCTAATCCCTTTTTCGAGTACAGTATGTTCTGTGTTATAAAAACTCCAGTAAATAATTCATGTAAAAAAACAACACCTCTGTAAATATTGTCAAACTGCAGAATAAATGATTTACTAAAAGGTCTCTTGGCTGAGCACAACAGCTTTATTATTATTACTTGTTCTGCAAAGCAATCCCTATCCCCCCTTCCATCCTTCTTTCCCCCCCACAAAATGTCTCAGTTGGGTAAATGCAATTGTTAAAAACCACTTAGGTATATTTGAATCGACATAAATAATGAAAGAATCCTTTACAATATTACTAATTAAGCCATCTGGATGCTAGATTAAGAGTTGAGCCAAAGGTGCAATCGTTCTCCTCCCTTGAACTGAAAGGCCAAATCCTCTTGGGATGTAAAATAGTCATGTTTTGATGTTTTCAGTGGGGTTTTACAGAGGTTTGAGGACTGGGGCCTTTGCTTAGAGTATTGAAGCTAAATATAAGACTAAAAGGCTCAATCCTACATCCAGATCAGGTTGACTGGAGCGCTGTAGGATTTGATGTAGTCCACTCACCACCTAGATGATGCCACCAGGTTGCAATGCATTGTGGGCTCATCCAACCTTGCATGCTCTGGGGCTGCAGTCAGGGTCTGCAACAGGCCTTTGGGGCCAGCACACTTCTTCATAGTCACAGGTTCTCATGCACACCCACCCCCCATCCTGGTGTACATGTTTGTCCCTAGGGGATGAAAAAAGTCCTGTGCTGTCTCTACAATTCCTATGGGTTTGCCACCCTTACCTGTAGGCCATATAGATATATTATTGTTTGTATTTCAACTTAGCCTTTCTCCCTTCCTCTAAAATTCCATGCAGTTGCTTTTTCCAGGCTTCCCACTGTGACTGTTAGTGCATGCTGCCTTTTCCTTCTCTAGCATAGAAAAGGAACGAAAGGTTGGCTTTTCTACTCTCTGGCTTGTGTGGTGACACTCGGAATGTTCTTAGACTGAACTATGCTGATGGAGCGGGTTGGGATTCAGTGGATGATTCTATCCACTGGTTTTCACCAGCCTTTGCTGCTATCACAGAAAATACTCTACATTAGTGGCCATGGGAGCCACATCTTAGGGGCTGTGGGGGCTTTGTGTTAGATTTCTGTTATGCCACTGTGCAGTTTTTGGAGTCACAAGACTCTGTTGACATTCCAGACTGTTGGAAGTCTCACGGGAGACGGGAGATGGATGTTGATGTTACTGGTTTCCTGTTTCATTGTCCTGTTGTTCTCTGTCTCTCACAGAGAGCAGATGCATATTCTTTTCTGTCCTGCGTAGTTAGAAATAAATGTAGCAATGTAGCACATATTCCTGGCTCTTCTGCTGCTGTTTGGGTACTCTGTGTAATGGGAGCGTGCCTGAAGCCTCATTAAAGGCTTAGGTCGTTAATCACCATCAGAGCAGATGTCGATGAATTCCGAAGATACGATGAGGAGGAGAGCCATTACTGAGGGGCCACTAGGGGTGCATCGGAAGATGGCTGACAATGACATCTCTCCAACCCACAGGAGGTAATTAGGAGGCTGTGATGGGAGTAAATAGCCTCCCTACCCCCCCAAGGTTGTGGGGGGTGGCTGCCCTTGCCTACTGTGCCCTGTACCACCCCTGAATCTGTGGGGATGGGGGCACTAGGCAGAATGCCCTCCTGTGGATCTCGGTGCTCCTGGACGCTGTCTCTGATCTGCGCCTCTAGCTGCAAGAACTTCAAAAGGAACAATTAGGAAGAAGCGAATGCACATATTTCAAGGAAGGAGGGGGAGTAAAGACTGCTAACTGAAGAGATCTCTGATAAACAAGACGGGTCAGAGGAACAAGAATCAATCATGAGAAGATATGCCAAGACTCGGTATGGCAAAGGGACTGGATGGGGGAGGGGGAAAAAACTTTCCTTTCTTTCCTCTATGTGATTAAACAAGAATCCCCCCCCTCACAAGTCAGAAATGCCGTTTTAATGACTTAAGCTGTGGATTTATGACTGTGTGGAGATAAATTTTCTAACCAAAGCATGTTTTAAGAAGAGTGTGGAAAGTTTAAGAACTTTGGAATGACGCAGTTAAAAATACCGTCGCCATATTGGCAAGCTCTGTCGGAGGACTTGAGTCTGGGAGGAGGAAAAGAGCTGTTTTTATATTGTGGGTGAGACTCCTCAGTGGGACTTAAGAACGACAGATCCTGAGATTAATGATGGAAAGAGCGATGTTATTTATGAAAGTGATGATATATGGAAACCATCTCGATATGAGGATTGGACGAATGGAAAAATCCACACAGGATATAATTGGTGTTTATCTGCTTTAGGAGATTATCAGAAGAGATCATAAAGAAAAAATAAAAAATATACGAATAAGATGAGATGTGGAAACAGCAAGAATAAGACTGGATAGAATTATGAACTTTATTTGGACTGATTTGGATATGAACGCAGTAGCAAGAAGATGATCGGAATCCCCCTTCAGAACTTGAAATATGGGTCCCCTCAACAAAAATTTAAAATTCGGCTTTGTAATTCGGAATTTATGTGATGTGATGTGATTTGATTTGATTGGTCGGTTAATAAAAAATAATTAAAAAGAAAAGAGAGGAGGAGAGCCATTACAGCTTGGTCGTACGGAAGCTCCGACACTTTGGCCCCCACAATAAAATATTTGAGGGGGCTGGGTCCCCACAAAGTTGATGGGCATTCCCATTCAAATGGTGTGTGTGCATTGTGTCATGCAATCAATTATGCAAGGTGGGGCTTACCTGGGTCCCCACATTATTTTATTCAAGTTGGCACTCTGTTAGTGGTCGTGTTCTCACCAACAACAACCAGAGCAGAGCCTCGAAAAAAGGGTGTTACCTAAGGTAGAGCAGGGATAGCCACTGCACACTGAGCCAGCTGAGTCCCTAATCTGGAGCTGATGTAGAAAAATGTGGTGGGTGGAGGGTCCTATTCCCTTTCTACCTTGGTTGGCATGAGATGGCAGGGCTTCCGATGCTGCAGTTGCTTTGCCACTCACCACCTTCCCAGCTCCTGGTAGGACTGTTCTGCCCTTTTCTGATGCAGGAAAATGTTAAGTAGGTGGATTTTCCAAGTGAGAGGCAGCAGAAACGCTACCCTATGATTTGCCTGATGCAACCAGACAATGCAATGATCAAGTGCATGAAGCAATGTCACAGTATTGAGCTTGCAAATATTATGATTTATGTGGAAATATATTACTCTGTGTTAAATAACTTATTAACATGCATATTTCAAAAGCTCATAGTCTGTTGTTGGATAAGTTGCAAGAAGAATGATTTGTTGTGTTGGTTAGCCTTAGGGTTGGTCATGTGTCAGAGCAGAAATTATGGTTTTGTCATGGTAAAAAAAAAAAGAGCATAAAATTTTATGAAGTCATAAGAGTCATAATTTTTGTTCCAAAGAGTTATGGCTCTGTTAAAATTACTGCCTTCAGAAATTTAGTATATATTAGCTAAACAAATACTTTATAATAACATACCACGAATCACAACTGTATTCACACTTACAGCTTATTCCTAAACAAGGAAACTACCACACTTGTTGTGTGAACATATCTACTCATTGACAATCCACAGCAGTTTTTACATTCCTATAGCATCCTGGACTGTACCACAGCAGGTAGGATATACACACCTTTTTATTTTTTAAGAAATACAATAAGCCCTCAACTTAGGTACCTTTAACTTGCACATTTTCAGCTTGTCAATAAATAAAAAAATAAAAATGAGGCAGAAAGGGGCCAGCAATCTAGGAAAAATGACTTTGGCATTTCTGTCCGCCATTGTACCCAATTCTTTACACAATTCTGGCTTAAGGCGCAATCCCTCAAACATAACCCCTGCATAGGTTGTGGGCTTAGTGTACCCTTAGCACACAGATAAACCAAGTATGGCAAAATGAATGGGTAAGCCTGTTCCTCCCTGCAGGGGTAGCCCATCCTGTTTCACCACCTGAGGCAAAATGGCAAGGTGCTGCCCTCATTCCTGCCCCCCACCAAAGTCTTCTTTTACTGGAATTCCCAATGAAAGCTGCCACTGCCGCTGCTGCTGCTTCTCCTAGCGCAGGCTTCCTCAAACTCGGCCCTCCAGATGTTTTGAGGCTACAATTCCCATCATCCCTGACCACTGGTCCTGCTAGCTAGGGATCATGGTAGGCCAAAAACATCTGGAGGGCCGAGTTTGAGGAAGCCTGTCCTAGCGTCTTGGGCAGTGGCAGGTGGTTCCTACAGGGGCACCACCCCATGGGATTCCACCATCCAAAGTTGTTGCTTCAGTCTGCTTCATGGGCAGGCTGGCCCCATCCTCCCTGACAAGGTGTTTTTCTATATGCAGAGAGCACATTTCAAGTAACAGCTTTTAAATATTCAACCCTCCCACATAAATAAAAATAGAATGGCAGTCCATCTGCAGACACTCTTGGAGGAAACTGATTATCTTGACCCATTTCAGGTCTAGACCTGGTTTTTGAATGGAATTGGCCTTGCTCGCACCTTCAGAAAAGGGACATGGAGGAGTACAACCTTATTGCATGATCTCCCAACAGCTTTTGATACCATAGACCATGGTGTCCTCCCGGATTGTCTGTTAGTTGAGTGTTGGTGGCGCTGTGTTGCAGTGGTTCTGCTCCTACCTGTTCACAGAAGAGCACTGGTTATGTGTCTGCCACCAGGCATTTGTGGCATGCTGGAGGGCACCATTTCATCCCTAGTGCTGCTCAATGTCTATGTGAAGCCTCTGGGAACAGTCTTCAGGACATCTGCATGCTGACGACACCCAGCTCTATTGCTCCATAACGTCTTAGTCAGGAGAGGCTGTGACTGTTTTGATCTGATGCTTGGATGCAGAGGTGGGCTGGACGAGGGCCAACAAACTTGAGATTTCATCCTGGTATGACAAACTCTGTGGGTGAGCAGTTCATCCCTTGATGACAGCAGCTTCAAGTGAGGATCTGGGCACATGTGAGCAGGCTATCACAGTGATTACATTGACGACAGAACTTCAAGCCTTCTCCCATCGTCACAAACTACTTTTCAGCAGAGTCTGTTCACACACTATGCAGCTTCCGATGTTGCTGAACTACAATCCCAGCAGCCTCAGCAAGCATGGCCAATGGCCGGGGATGCTGGGAGTTGTAGTTCACATCTAGAGGGCCACTTGGTGTACAGTTGCAGAATGATAAGAAATGAAGAGATGATTCTGGCAGGCCCCACCCTTCTCAGGCCTCATCAGCACCCAGCCATACTGGGGTCTGCAGTAGGAGAGATATACAAAGAGATAGCAGGACCTTCAGTTTGCTCTGTTTTGTAATTTACCCTTTTTGTTATAACTCCTCTAAAAAGACAGGTGGGTACATCTTCTCCAGCTGACACATCATCTAGAGGTTAGATGGATTTTTTTTTAAAAAAAAACCCCAAGACATTCTCATTGGTGGCATCCTGTCTGTGCATTGCCCTCCCTAGAGATGTTTGCCTGACGCCTTCATTGATTTATTCAATTTATTAGGGGTGTGCACCAGCTACAAGAACTGGTGGCACTAGTAGTGGGACAGGAGTAGAAGTGGGTTAGGCAAGAATCTTCTGGATCCCAAGACAGCTCCCAGAGAAGGGTCCAAGTTGGTCCTCTGATGCAGCAAAAAATGTGCATTTCACTGCTCACCATCTTCTACCTTGTGTGAGTGGCAGAGCTTCTAATACAGCAATGACTCTACCATTCCTTTTTTTAAAAAATATTTTTTATTAATTTTCCATTTAAACATATAATGTATAATCACATCATTATTATCCACTTTAATTCTTTGGCTCTTTAGAGCCTGTCAACTTCCTTCCCTCCCACCTCTCGGCTTACAAAAGTAACCTTTATATTGCAACATTTTATTTATTTTCCAATTCTAATATGACTCATTACAAAATACCTCAAAATTTAAATAAACGAAAGGGAAAAATTTTCTCATTACAAGTCTTCAGATAACCCTACTAGTGTTGTTAATTGCTTACAATGGTCTTTCAAATATTGTGTAAATTTACTCCAGTCTTTTTAGAGTACTTGATTGTGCTGGTTTTGGATTTTTCCCGCCAGCTTCTCCAGTTCCGCAAAGTCCATCATTTTCATCTGCCACTCTTCTTTCGTTGGTACTTCTTGTTGTTTCCATTTTTGGGCTAAAAGGGTTCTTGTCGCTGTTGTTGCATACATGAACAGTCTTTTATCTTTTTTTTTTGGTATCTCTTCGCCTACTATACCCAGGAAAAAGGCTTCTCGTTTTTTTAACAAGTGTTTTTTAAACATTTTCTTTAACTCATTATATATCATTTCCCAGAAAGCCTTTACCTCTTTACAAGTCCACCATATATGGTAAAAGATACCTAATGACTCTACCATTCCATTCCGCCATGTTGCCAGAATTATTAGTACTATATAAATGTGCACACATACTGTATACAAGTATGTGTAGTCATGTCTGTGTATTGTACAAAAAAATAGAGTGAGAAATCCCACAGGGATTAGTTATATAACCACCAACATAATTTCTCACCTAGGTGGAATTTCAATCCACTTTCAGGGGATTCCCCACATGACCTTGTCAAGTACCTAAACTGCACCTGTATCACACCACATGCTATAGCCATAAGTGATATAATTTAGAATGGCCCATGCCAAGTCCATTTCATCCCATGTCACACTTAACATTAAATTGCCATTTTTCTTTGTTATCATCTCCCTGGTTTCTAAAGAAGCAACAAAATATGATTTTAGTATTGCTGGGTTAAGTTTTGTAAGGGACGCAGCTGGGGAAGATTTTCAGCGCACACACACACACACACACACACAGACAAAAAAATCCTGTCATCGTAAGTTGAAGTTTGACCTTTCTCTTTGGAATTTTCTTGATGAGGCAACAGTGGCAACAATGTTCTTCCCTGAGGTAAATTTCCCACTTCAGCATAGAGCATTAAAGAGGTATGTGTGGAGTAAAGTAATGTGTGTGGGTCTGAGCGCTGTGCCAAAGTTATTGCTGCATTTGGTTACTGCTGTTGTGTAATTAACTCTCTGACTCAGATAAATCTTTCCCCATGAGAGAAAGTCATATAGGGCAACTCCCGTAGTCAGTGTGACTGCAAAGGTGTGCCTCCCATATTGCACACCTGCTACTCATCAGTTAACAGCTGATAAAATCTGCCCTGTTCTCTCCGCACCAGAGTGAAGTGGTGAAGCATCCTTCTGTCACCGCATGTTCATCATACCAGGTCGATGGATGCTCAGGGGGGAAAAAAATGGTTTATCAGCTTGGTTATTAGCTGCCTTTAGCATATTGTGCAAGT